TTTTTCCTACCCCAATTTCTAAACATTTGGGAAGGAAAACTGAGTCATTTGGTACAGCAGAGACTGAGAACGTGCAGCGCTGAGAGCCCTGAGCTCCCACCAGGCAAGCGCACCTCAGACTGCGGGCTCTTTGGCCTGACCCTCACTTTATCTGCAGTGCTTTGCTGCTCCCCAGCCCATGGTGCTCAGCACCCCCTTCCCTCAACCCCATCGAGCTCCTGAGGGGCTTCCCAGGATGCTAATTCCACCAAAGAAAAAATAACTCATCTGTTGGGTTTTTTTTTAAAGAAACAGAGGAGAGCATGGCAAGTGCTGCACTGGGTGTTGGATCAAGCCCAAATGAGGTGCACAGCACAGCCAAGGAGCTGAGCTGTGAGACAGCCTGAAACATCGGCTGAAGAGGCATCCCGAGAGGGTTCTGTGAAATTATAATGACCAATCCACAGGGAATTAGGGCTTGGAAAATATACATGCAGCATACAACGTTTGCGGTTGGACATCTGTTTTGACAGATTAAAATGTAACTCAGGACAAACCACCAGTGCCTGGAGCGCTCAGCTCTTGTCTTCCTCCTCTGCTCACTTGACGGAGATGAGACCATCTGTTTCTACCTGCTGTGGTGCTCCCGGTCCCCGCAGAGAGCCCTCCTGCATCCAGCTCTCCTGCATCCAGCCCTCCTGCCCACCAGGCTGAGCAGAGACCAGCCCCCCCCCAGGGATCATTTCTGACAGGTAGACTTTTCGTCTGTAGGATCTCCTAAAAGCCACCATAAAGACTGTGTACCATTATTTACAGGTTTCTGTAACAGGGACAGCCTCTGCTTATTTCTGCACTCCTGTAAGCAGGAGTGGTTTCAGTATCTTTCACTCTTCGTTTTACCTGGCCCCTACAAAGACGAGAAAGCCTGACAAGCTGGTCTGCTCAGCATGACCCCCACCCTGAGCAGGAGAATGGACAAGCACAGGAACCCCCCCCAGAAAGCCCTTGGACACCCCAGCCAAAGCTCTGAACTTCTTGGCTCTGTCCATCAATATTAAGGCAAATTTTATTGTCCTCCGGCTCCCAGCTCAGTGCTGAATGCTAAATCAAATGCATGACACCCAAAGGACTATTCTGCTGAAGACTAAAGGTCTCACCTGATAGGAGGTCATCAGGTAGAGGTAGGTGGAATCAGAAGGGTCGAACTGCATGATGGGGTGGACAGGCTCTCCATAAGCCACTGAAATGGATCTCCTGCTAATAACCTTCATAGTACTGTCCAGATTAATCTGTAGTGAGAAGAAGGCACCCACTGAGACCATTTTTCAAACACTATGGGGAGATTATTTTTCCTCTGTTATAAACAAGCATCAAAGTGGCATCTAACAGTGTTCCACATTTTCAAGCACTGTAAATCTCTACACGCTTTGCAAGCTGCATGCCCAGAGCTTTCCCGAAAAGCCAGCTCTGTGCCACAGGGAAGCCACTAAGTGGCCCAGAAAGCCCAGGCCATGGCCAGGAGCAGTGGCTGGGGATGCACAGCCCTTGCAGCCCTTGGTCCCTCTGTTTAAAGACCTCTGTCAGGGAGGCTGCCCGGAAAACGGCTGGTCGAGGGCTCTGCCTGCAGCACCGCTCAACTGCACGGCTGTTTCCAGCAGGCCACGGCACTGTCACTCTCGCTCTACCCCAACATGAGTGGCACCAGCCTTCAGCCCTCGTCACACACATACGGGCGTTTCTGTTACAAAGAACACTGCATTTCCAAAGCTTAATGAAAAACAGTGAAAATCAGCACCAAGGCTGCACAACATGGCACCCCCTGATCCCTGCATATTTGAAAAATAAGTGTTGTCATTCCTGGCCAAAAGAAGCTTTCATCCCTGCTAACTCCAGAAGACCACAGCAGCTGCTGCAGGAGAGTCGCGTCCCACCTTGCCTCATGAAGCACCAGCTGAAGCGCTGGCAGTGATGGAAGAGGCTGAAAAGCATCAGCCTGCCTTTCAGATCCCAGAATGTCTTGGCATTTGACTTGAAAACTCAGCAAATTAAATGTGGCATTGCTGAGAGGAAATAACAATAGGGCTACACAATTTCACGTGACAGTTACTTTTCAGCTTAAAACAGAAAGAGAGTGAGGAAAATTCCTACCTCCTTACTAGCAAGGCAAGGCAATACTGTAAGGACCAAGTGTGTTTCTGCTCTCCAAAGTCTGGATTAATTAATTATCATAGGATTAATTAATTCTTACACTAGAGAAGCACCAACATGTCCTAGTAAGATAGCACAAGCTCAGAGCAGAGGGCTTCCCTCTGCTAAGAACTGTATGCAGGCACCGCAAGCTACTACGCGGAAAAATAAGGGAACTATCATTATTCCCACTTTAAAAGCTGGCTCTTCAGAAGCGAAATAATTTGCCTGCAATCACCCAAAACATCTATGAACTGAGTCCTGACACCCTCCCCTTCAGCTCTGTGACCACCCTCCCTCTCTCTGCTGAGAGATGCTCTACACTTGGCTGTTTCAAGGCACCTGCCCAGGTCCCTCTGCCTCCTGGGCTTGTTTCCCCTGCGCTTTCACTGTGCGGGCACTTTCCCTGGATCCCCATGAGCTGGGAAGAGCCAGTGCAGGGGGGGCAGAGCCCACCAGTGCTCTCATCAGAGCAGGGCCGGGGCGTGCTGGAGGAGACATGCTGCACTGGCTCAGGCAGAGCAGGGTGAGCTGAAATTCTGGGTAACCCCATCACAGCACCTCATCTACCGCCTTACAGACCTGACACAGAGGGACCCACCAGAACAGACTCTTCTCGCCCTGGTCCCCTTTGAGGGCCCCGCGCCCTGGCACACCTCGCCCTGCCCACTGCCTCTCAGGCGTGGTTTTTCCTTTAATGACTGCTGGATGTGGCACTGATAAGAGCCCTCACGAAACGCCCCTCTGCAGCCCATCTGATTAATTCCCCATACACACCCCTAGCAGCCATAATTGCTGCTGGCAGGAGCTGGTAGAGCACTATTTCTGCCCCTTTGCTGTCTTTTCTCAGGCAGCAAATCTGAATGATAACTCACGCAAAGTATCTTGCATCCCATGCCAAATAACAAGGAGCCCTCAAGGTAAAAGGGCTTCTGGTTATGCAGCTGTGTTGTAGAATTAGATTAGAGCTATCTGAGCAAATTATCCCAGCAAAGGGTAGCCAGGAGCCTCTCCCTAATGGAGGCTCAGCAGATAAGGCTGTTTTCTCCGAGACGATAATGGCAGCAGAGCTGTTAATGCTGTGTGAACACGGGCTGCGCTGCGTGTGGCATGTGCCTCTCCAGCCCAGCGCAGCTGCCCGGGGTGCCAGCTCCCTCCCACCCATCAGTTACCTGCCCCCACGGGCAAAAATCAAAGCAGTGAGTTTCTTTGTGATCGTTCCCACATTTCTGCCAGGAGCACTTGGACGCAAGGGAAGAGATTGGATTAGTTTTCTTCTCTCCAAGCATTTTGATACAATATTCCAGATTATGCATCACTCACCCCAGGCTGAGACAAAGCAGGTATCAGCTGTCTCTGCTCCAGGGCTTTTTTTCCCCTTTCCTCTGGAGACTTTTGATGCTGAGAGTACAGCAAACTGTTGTGGCTGGCTGGAACCAAAACTTTCTTTGGCATACTTCAAGTGCTAAAGTTACTGAAATCTTGGCCTTGCTCCTTGGCTCTGGAGCCAGGGTATTGCATTGCCCTACACCGCCTTTGGCACACTGTTTAAAACATACACTCCGTCAGATGCACGATTCACACCTGCTTTGGACTCAGCCGCGGTGAAGCATCTCTCGGTCATTCCCCTGTCTACACGAAGCCTTCAAAAGTGATCAGCTCGGGGGGAGAATTTATTAGAAGACCTGTTAATAATTAAATGCTGCACAATAACATTTCCAGCATAGGATTCATCAAGAACATCCTGCTCACAGGCAGCCTTGAACAGTAATTAATGGCCACCAGACACCAGGCAGCATAGATCACTGTACAGATTACGGCAGCATCCAATCACTTCTCCATTGCCAAAGGAAAGCAGGTGCTCAGACAAACTCACCCACAGACACTGTCCCCTGTGCAAGCCAGAGGTGCTGGAAGGGGCCATCCCACCACCCACCCATCCCCACTTACCTTCAGGAGTCCTCCGCTGGCAGTGCCCAGGAACGCAACCGTGTAGTTATTGACGCTGGCGACAGCCACGGCAGTCAGGCCGCTGTAGGTGAACACGGGGGTGGCTGTGACAGGGTTGACGATGGCCAGCGGGTGCTGGAGGTGAGCTGCTCCACAGTCCAGCTGCTCCGGCTGCAGCTGCAGGGAGACACACACATCAACAGGCTGCAACCAACACCAGTGGGTCCCCCCCGCTGTCACTGCCTCGAGCTCGGGGTGGGCCAGCGGCCGATGGCCCTGCTGCGGCCAGGGAGAGATCCCCACCAGCCAGCCATGGAACAGGAAAATGTAACTGGTTAATATGGGAGCAAAGAGCTGCAATACAGCTGTCCTTCTGCTTGCCAAATCCATCCACAGATCCAAAGCCAGACTAGGCTTTGCTGGAGATGAGCTGCTGGAGGAGCTCTGCCCTTGCCTGAGCTATGGGCAGAATCAGGGCAGCACTGGGATCGCTGCCAGAGCCATCCAGGTGCAGGGCACCCCAGGAGCGCGTCCTCAGCCAAGTGCACATCTACCGTAGCAGCATCCCCCCACCTCGACACAAAAGTCTGGTGTGATGGTAAAAGGGGACAAGGGGGCTCTTTGCTCCCCTCTCCCACCGAAACACTCTCCTCCTGCATGGCACTGGAAGCCCCTTGCTGGCGGGGGCTGTGCTGCAGGGAAGGGTTCTCAGCCCACCAAAGACCAGCCCTCCCCAGCAGCCCCTGCCCTTGCAGAGGTGGCTGCGCTTCCAGTGGAGGGCTGGTCCCACGCATCACCCCGGTGCTGCAATGGGACCCCTTCCCATGGGTCAGCACTTGGGATCTGTGCCCAGGATCAGTGCTTGGGATCCATATTCGGGATCCATGCTTGGGATCAGCACTCAGATGGGGTGGCTGCAAGCCCAGCAACCATCTCTGGCTCCTTACTTCTCAAACAAAAGGTGAAGCAAAAAGTTTCTCCAATAAAAGAATTCAAAATATTATTTCCCTGCAAGTAAGTGAGGAAGTGACCGAGAACAGAGCCAAGTGGGAGGGGTGGGGGTGGTGAAGGCAGAGGACAACGGTTAAGGACCCCTCACCTGTGAGCCTTGTCTGTGAGCAGGCATTCAGCTCATTTGGCCCAAAGCAAGACATCAGACTTTACTATCCTGTGCTAAATTAATTGGCACAGTGGCTGCATGACAGCAGCATTTGAAAACGGGACTGAGGCCTCATATTCCTCCTGCCCTGCTGAGACGCACCCAAGATTTATGACCACTCTCACCCTCAATCCTCCCAGACTCTCCTTATTATTTCTGATCAGACAATGTGGATGGATTCAACAGTGTCTGAACATCACAACAGTCTCGCTGCCGACAATTACCTGCTGTCACTCCTGCAGCAGCTTTTATGAAGTGCTGTGGGCACAGGCAAAGCTGCTCAGATGATGGGCATGTTTCAAGGGCCATTACCACATCATCTACAGCATCATTTCAGGCTCGTCTGAAGAGAAGCCGCAATTGCGCTGTCACCCTTCCCAGGTGTGGGCATGCAGCTGCGGGGCCGGCGCGCCGACAACCGCGGGCATTTGCAGGCTGCCTGAAAGCACACCAAATTAAGGCGCTGATTGTGGGAAGTGTTGTACAAAACTCCGGACAAGAGACCGCTGGCAGACTGCAGCCCACACCTCTAAAACTCAGCACATTTTACGCCTTACTGAACTCAGCCATTACATGGATATTCCTTCCAAAATAATCATCAGGAGTGCTAATTTAAGCAGAACAAATGCAGGGATGAGAGGTTGTAACTGGTAAAAAACTGGACCACGTGCTTGCACCAGGCAGAAGTTGACAACCAGCCTGTTTAGCATAGTCCCTCCTCCCTGGGTTGTGTACGCCAGGGCCTGTATTTTAATTCCCTTATTATCATTATTATTTCATTAATGGAACCAGACTAAATCTTCAGCTATCCCCTCTCTCCAGACAGTTTAGAAGATTAGGAAAATCTTCAGGCTTTGAAGCAGAGCATGAGACCTGGGCAGGACCTCCCTCTGCTGTGACCCCTGTTTGGGGCACAGGTCCCACCCTGTGCCCATCCTCCCCCATGGCCACGACCACATCCTGGGTTGGTGCCACACTACAGCAACACATCCCTGGACAAAAACAGGGAGGAAACTTGCTATAACCCAAAATCCATGCAAAGTGACCGGGCTGTGCCTCGGGGAGTGAGGGACGGTGTCCCCTTGCAGGCGGGAGGAAAGCAGCCGGTCAGCAAACAGCACTGGCTTCCCCAGAGCCAGGTCCTGTCACAGACCTGCAGCATTGTCTGTGCAAGGGAACACACAGGGACAACTCTCCCATTCTGTGGGACAGCTTGTCCCCCCTGCCTGGAGGAGCGTGTGGCTGCCGATGCACCCAGGGCTCCTGTCCCAGCTGTTGGACCCACAATCAGGAGGCTGGGTCCTCCCCACAAAATCACCCTGATCTTGGTCCCCTGTGCCCCAGCAGACACCAGACCCCACGTCCACTGCTGCTGCCGGTCATGTCAGACATGGAGTAACAAAGACTGATTTGAAAAACTTCCTCTGCTAAAGCAAATGCCAAGCGGGAGGCAACACACTTGGAGCTGCGGCTGGGTTCACATGGGACAGAGACGAAAGGGTCCAGTGTTGTGGATGCAAGTGACTTTGCTAAATACATTTTGCAGCTTTAGAGTATTTCATTCCACTAAAAAATAAAATCATAGCCCAAATTCTTAAGTGGATATGTTTCCCCCTGTAACTGGGCAACACAACTTTTTTAGACTGTACAGAAAATATGGCGAGCCATTCGTGTTCCTGGTTCCATGGTCCCTTCCCTTCACAGCCAGACCTTTACAAATGCAGTTGGGTTTATTTATTTGCCTTGGAGATTATTATCTCCAGCCTCTCTTCATTACTCTACCAATATTAACCACCCAAAGCTCACAAGCTCCTTCCGGCTGGGAGTCTCCAGCACAGAGGCACCTCAGGCTGCCCGGGAGCCCGAGGGATGCTCAGCACCTCATCTCCACAGCCGCTGCCCAGGGAGCCCATACACCGGCGGCTTTGCCGCCTCCCAGCCTGAGGGACACAGCCCTTTCTTCTCACAGGTGGCCAAAATCACGGGAAGTGCCTTATCTGCTGCGCCTGCCCGCTTATAAATCACGCATTTCAGAGCCAATACCAGAGCAAAGTGTTTTCCACAGTAAACAGGATGTAACTATTCTAACACAGACCAAGCTTTATGCTGGCCGCATACATCCTTCCTCT